CTAAGTAAAGGGCAGCTGAGTACACAGTCCGGGAGGACGCTAAGTAAAGGGCAGCTGAGTACACCGTCCGGGAGGACGCGATTTGGGTCACCATTCTTTTTTCTTATTTGGCAGCATGGCTGAGGCGCTGGAATGGGACTGCCTGGCTTGTGGCTAGCCTTGGCTGGGGCACAGGTCACTGTGACAGACTGCCATCCAGGAGAAGCTCCACACATCAGAAAGGGTTTCCAGGAGTCACTGCATGTGCCAAGCACTCTTTCAAACGACTTCAGTGCTACTTGAGTTTGACGGACCTGTATGCGTTCTTCAGTCTCGTCCCTAAGCAGAGTTGAAGCACGCCTGACATAAGCCTTGATCTCGAATTGGGCAGGAGTCCTTCGACTCTTGCAGTTGAACGTAGATCTGAACGGCTTGAAAGGTGCCGCCTATCTACGTGCATGCCGCATGGTTTTCAAATGTGCCTTGCAGGTAGCGTCGAAGTCAAAGCACTTCGTTGGGAGGCGTGGGCATGCACCACGTGGATGTGTTTGCTGACAACTAGCAAGCCATGGAGCCATCTGTCGTTTGCAAGCTCAGCAGCCTGCATGGTTTCCAAGCCTTCCGCTCGGTCACGAAGACAGCAGAAGCCTTGAGCAACTTCCTTTGGAGGACGAGCCTGCGTGGCTCAATGACTTTGACCTGGTGATCGGCTCGGTACCTTGACGTTTTCTGATGATGTCGAGTGCCGCATGAGATTCTTAAAGCTGTCATGCTAATGGCACACCTCATGTGGCGTTTCATAGCGTTTCCCTGTGCACGGGTTTTTGGAGGACATTCTGCCTCTTGGCTGCACTGAGTGCGTGAGCTAAACATCGGCTCAGCCTAGTGTGCAGCTGTAACGTGGCCACATGCAAGCATTGTCCAGTACCTCTTCCTTCTCTGTACCGAATCCCATGATTACCACCCGAGGTATGAAACCGAAGGTTTCAGCCTTTTCGATGCAGCTGCTCGAGCATTACGGCCTGGTGGACGCTTCGCTGCCTGTCCTGAGCTATGTCAAAAGTTATTATGTTCCAGAAACAGCACAGACACTTCAGTTTTGGAGAAGACGAGGGCCAGGCACGTGAGCATATTAACACTTTTGCCAAGAGCTGTCAATGTGAAAGCCTCAGGTTCTGGCCAACACAGTACGCGGTGCCAGCGTTGGAGTGGCTTGGATCCAGATGATCATGCAAGCTGCAGATAATTCTCCGTGCTCTGAATCGAGCCAGAATTAAGCTTGGTCCATGCCACCATCGAAGTCACTTCGCAAGTTTACTTGGACTCCTTGTGGTGGCTGATCTTTTTGTGGAACCGTGTCGGACGGGCCTGCGGCCGCTTGCAGTCTATTCTACGTTGACCTTTGAAGCATGAACCACCTCAAATCTAGTCAGAAACTGGCACTGAGATACCAGCAATTCGGCATCATGCCGCAGCAGCAGGGCTCCACCAGACCGACTCGGTGGATTGCGCTGTGGGGGAGGCATCCTGCGTGCGGTGAGGGCTCTTGTAACTTCCATGAAAAGGACTCTTCTATTGTGGGTCAGGTTGCCATCTTTGAGTTCCAGAAGATGCGTTCGTCAAGGGAACCAAAAGCAGCGACATGTGTATACGCCGTATACGCTCTTGCAGGGGGGCAAGCCGAGGGCAAGCAGCATCCGACAAGTCCACTGCAAACACGTTCCCGCCGTAATCTGGCCCAAGTCGTTTCTTTCAGCGTATGTGATCTGGCAGACTTCGACAGCTCCAGGACTGGACGAGTCGCAGTCTGGGCTTCGTGGGCTCCTTCTCTTCGTTTGAGTTTACTTGTAGGGGTATATATATATATATGGGTATAGTTTTATTACAGTCCCCCAATGGGTTCTCCTGTGACCATGAATGGCTATTGCTTGCTGATGATGGACATGGAAACCATAATCACCTTCGTGTTTCATGAGCATACGGTGACCTGAGCATCCATGCCCAAATCGTGTTCCAAGAGCATACGGTCGCCAGAGCATCCATGTCCAAACCATAATAACGTCCGTGTTCCAAGAGCATACGGTCACTAGAGCATCCATGTCCAAACTATAATGACGTTTGCGCTGGAGTGAATAAAAAATGCAGCAGACTTGCGGGGGACTGCAACGAAACTATACCGATATATACATATGCAACCCCCCCCCTAAAGATC